ATATATATATAAATATTTCTTATGGTAGGAATCTTTTTGATCTAGACATATTATGATTTCCTGTCAGTTTGGTGTCCTGATGCAGGTGAACATAGTTCTTTAAAAACACAAAAATATAACTTTTCAAACGATAAAAAAAATAAATTATTAGATGCAGTGCACTTTTCTGTGATATCATGAAGAAGCAAAGTGTCTCAAACAATTTAGCGGCTTTAAGGCCCGATATCGCTGGTGGAGTTAGAGAAATAAGTTAGAGAAATTATGAAAAAAACTTAATAAAAAAACCTCATATGTTTGCCCCCATGATATCCTGGCGTGATGAAACCTCGCAACCCTCACCTGATGCGCTGATCTGCTTTTGCGTGGTTTCATCACTCCCGGTTTGAAAGAGCGGCGTGCTTATACGAGGTTCTGGATAAGCCTTCTTTATGAATTAGCTTAATTGAAGCACCCATAACTGACATTGTCTGGTGCATTTAATGTATCTGACGGAATAAAGAAATATTTCATTCATTCATTCATCCTTACATTCATTCATTCTTTTATCCATTCACTTTATTTCAGTCAGTTCAGAAGTTCAAATATGGTCATATGTGAAGTATTTACATAGTGTAAATACATTAAAAATCCATTCATTAGGATGACTAACGTGCTGGTAATCAAGATGTTCTCATCGAGCACAAACGTAGTTAACATTTAAGTTAAGGCAACAGTCACACCTTGAAATGACAGGTGACGGTAGTCCTTAATAAGACTAGGTGACAGATCTGTGCACTCTCCTGATGTCAACAAGCCATTCTGTTTATCAAAGAGAGGGTAAGGTTTCGCATCTTCTCAGACTATTTTTAGTTTTAGTACAGGTTTTACGGCGCCCGCAACTGCATACGGTCATACGAGCGCCAAGGGTTGAATGTCAACAGAGAAGTCTTTACAGGGAATCAGACTTTTACTCTGCTCGCCTCTCTAGCTTCAGCAGCACAAAGTCTGCTTCGACTGTCAAGGCACCCCTGAAATAGCGGGTCACAAGAGTGTGACAAACATACAGAAGAAGTAAAGGATTAGGACAGAAAAAGCAGCAGTTCCCTGTTGTAGTTAAGGCACAGTTATGAGCATGATATTGTTAGATCAGTCCATTTACAATTCTACTGTGCACTAGAACGAGAAATGTCTCCCCCCCCCACCCCCCCCTTTGGTAATGGCCTAAAGACATTTCTGTCAGTGGCACCGCCCCGGGGGAGTCTCAGACTATGAATCCGCTGTGTAGTCGAATCCTCCAGTTGTGGTTGAGACCGAATAGTACTGAACTTAACCATGGTCTTGATGACTCTGAAGTCTTTAGAGGACATTGTGACAAATTTGTGTCTCAATAACACAAGTAATACGGACATTTCCGAATCTGTATTGAATATCTCCTTCTAACTGTGCTCATCACCTAGATCTTTATACCCTACAAGGGCTGGTTTGGAAACCACTGAGCAGACCACGTTCCATGAATTGACCCCACCCACCATGTCGCAGTCCTTTCCAGGGCTGTTCCTGATATGTGGAGAAATGGAAGTATCAGCTTCATCCCAGACTAAGTCCGCACCAACACCGGTGTCGCCTGGAATCATACCCCAAACCATACTGACGTTTCCCTAGGCAGCTGTAAGTCAGATGCTGAATTATTACCTTCGAGGTCACAGTAACACAATCTGTAGACCATATTCAGGCACCTCAGCCACTGTTCCTGGAGCCTGATCCCGAGAGACAGCCCATTTGTGATGCCAGCATAAATGATGCTCCACAGAGGAAAAGAAAGGGTTTTTAGGAGTGGCAACAAATAAGCGAAAAGCTATCCGTGGATCAGGACAGGATCGGAATACGTAAAGGTTCAATGAAAATCCGAGCTAAGTTATTGAAACCAAACTGTGATTGCAAGAGCTGGACTCTGAAATGCAAGGTTCTCTGAAGTTGATAGACATTCTAATTTTGATTTAGTGTGGACCCTTTCATGGGAAGACTAGTGGACCTCGGAGGAGGCATTCAGAGACTAAACAGATAGGGAATACCTTCAATAAACATTTTTAAAAGGTGGCCATAAGGTGCCAGTGTGTTAAAAGATGTTCCTGAATTGAACTGGGTTGGATGAATGCTTTGTAAGAAACTTAGAACCAATAATTATCAAAGCAACTCAGGTGTCTACAAAATATACAATTCTGCCAAGACCACGGGAGGTGGCCTCTCAACAGACCCGGCCTGGATGAAGCATTCAAGCAGAATCACCTGTCGCTGTTCATGTCAAAGATAGATATTATGTGCGACCTTTGCATCAGTCGTGAAGTTGACAATGTGCTGCTCACATTCTAGAAAAGGAGGCAGAGCGCAAAGAAAAGGAACG